TTGTTTTCCTATAATCTAGAATAGTGCTTGGAACATAGTAAGCGCTCAGTACATATTTGTTCAATGAATAAATGAATTATCCGATGACTTAAACATTTATTTTATCTCAAACACATATCCCTGTTCAACAGTAGAGTCTACTCTGGGTATCATTCTCATCAGTGTCTTTGTGGTTGGTCTCCTATGATTGTCTGATAACACACACCATGCAATGTAAGTCAATAGCAAAGTGAAACCACATATCCTGCAAAATAAGGACTTCCTGAAGTTGATGAAAGTAATATTGGAGAACTGCTAAGCCATTGCAAATCTGGATCTAGCAGAGCTAAATCATGTAAGAAATTTTAAGAATGACATAGATACAATTGGCAGGCATGATAACAAGACGGAATTTCAAAAGTGAATAAGATGAAGGAATTTCAAGTGAATAACATGGATATGAAAGAATTAAAATCTAGTTACTTAGCAAAATCAATGAAAACTTTTTTTTTTTTTTGACCGGTAAGGGGATCGCAACCCTCGGCTTGGTGTCATCTGCACCATGCTCAGCCAGTGAGTGCACCGGCCATCCCCATATAGGGTCCGAACCCGCGGCCTCGGTGCTACCAGCGCTGCACTCTCCCGAGTGAGCCACGGGGCCAGCCCAAAATCAATGAAAACTTTGAATATTTTAAAACAATGGCCAATCTTATAATATTGCTTTGAAAGTCAAATTTGAAGTATCAGGTGGAGGGTGTTTTATCTTGCTGTCATATAAATTGTCAGATGATTAGGTAATTCCTGTTAGCACATAGTTCTAATTATCATCAAAATTTGGTTAAACAAAGGGCAAAGCAAACTTATTTTTATAACTGCTAGTTGGAGTCTCGACCAAACCTAACTTTTTTCTCCTACTGTTTACTATAAAATTTTGATTCTCATTTAAAATGGATTCACTTACAGTGGCCTTTTCCTGGTACCGTATGTTTTTTGTGAACTGAGGCCATGCAATGTGATAAGTACAATATTTATGAGTCCGTTCAAGTTGTAGAGGTACCACAGAGGAAGGAGGAGTGAAATGAAGTGTTCCTGGGGGACGAGGTGTTCAGGTTGGGGCTTCATTTACAAGCAAATTGAGGTGGTAAAGAGGAGTTGTCTCCCAAGGGAGCTAGTAAGACAGCCTGGGCTTTAGGGTTGCATATGTTTAGTTCAAATGTCTGTTCTGTCTCTTACTTACTGTGTGAACCAGGAAAAATTACTTAACTTCTCTGAGTTTTTGATTTCTCATTTGAAAATTTATATATATAAAAAAATAGCAATATTAGCGATCTAAGTTATGACGAGCCAGTAAAGACATCTCAGTTCTATTCTCTCCCTCAAGAGCTTGTGTCTAGATAACTTAAACATGACACTGCTTGTGTTGATCAACTTTGATTGGTTTTGAAGATTTGGAATTAGATGCCCCTTCTACTGGGGTGTTGTTTCAGTGAAAACCTGGACACACTGACTAGTTATTTCAGGAGGTCCATTCTTAATACTTTTTTTTTCTTCCTGCCTCCTCTGAAATCTTGGTAACCAGTGATTTTTTTATTTTTATTTTTATTTTTATTTTGTCAATATACAATGTAGTTAGTTATTGTGTCCCATCACCAAAACCTCCCTCCCTCCTCCCTCTCCCCCCTCCCACCCAGATGTGTCCCCTCCATTTTCTCATTGTAAGAGCTTCAAAAAAAAAAAAAAAGTTGAGGTTGTTAAATCTTCCTCTCCCCCCCACCCAGTTTTTTTTTTTTTTTTTTTTTTTTTTTTTTTTTTTTTTTTTTTTTTTTTTTTTTTTTTTTT